ACTGTGTGATTTTGACCAATTTAAAGTCTCTGTATTAATGCATTAGCTTACGTATTAATTTAGATAAAACAATAGGTACAAATCTCATACTGATAGCTTGCCCATCTCTTGTTTTTGTATAGTGCCTCTCACTACAAGTAGGCATTCACCCACGAAAGCTTATGCTCCAATACATCTGTTAGTCTTAAAGGTGCCACAGGACTCTCTGTTGCTTTTTACATTAACTAAGAGCTTCATAAACGCCACACAATCTTGCCAACACTTGAAACTTCAAAATGTGGCTTATAGGATTGGGTTTTTACATTACTTTTTTTTGCTGAAAGATTCACTGTAAAGGAACAAGTGAAAACTACGTATCCCTTTCTCTAAACACAGCCCACTTATACAAATGTATTCCCAGTTTAGCAAAAAGCAGAAATTACATTATGGGACTCTAGAGTGAAACTGCTTTTAAGATATGTGTTTAACGGAAGGCTATGCCCAGAACACAGAAATGTGTGTTAAGTAGCAGAGTCTCCATTAGTTCCTTTGCTCAAGCAAAGGTCAGTCCTCACACAAGTAAATCTTCTGGACGGAAGTTTCTCAAGCCTTAAAACAGACTCAGAGGAGTGGCGCTTTCCCACAGGCCATTTATTACACCTTCCCCATGGTGACTAAAACGTGGGGCCATCCTGGGAAGGCAGTGATAAATTGCAGGGTCTTTTTGCTTTCAGCAAGATGCAAACAAAGTCTGAGTTACTGTATTTATACACTGTGGCTAGACAAGCTATGTATTCACTTGTGTGAGCGCCAAGCTTTTTCCCCTGAGCACAGACAGGCCTGGTGCACACTGTACAAAGAACCCTGGTTACATGCAGCTGTGGAAAATCTGCTTTATGGCACAGCTTAGCCAGCCTTTGTGGAAGCGGCAGGTCCAATCATGGGGAACCTGGGTTGGCAGCTAGGTTGGACCTGGTCATGAATACAGGTTTAACAAAGTTTTATTGTTACTGTTATTTATATAGCATCATAGCTGTGCATGGTATTGTACAGACATAACGAGACATGGGGGTAGAGTCTATCCCCCCCCCCCGGCCATGCCCCACCGACATGAGCAGAAACTGGCTACAGGTCTGGTGCTGTGGATTCCCCATAGGCACAGAGCTGATTAAGCTGGCTCCAACGCCTTAGTGCCCACAGCTCCAGGTGCAGACGGGATGTTGGGTTGTATTGGGGCAGAGAGGGGGTGACCCCACAGCTCCCGGCACAGGGAGGGGGAATGCCTCCTGTGCCTAGTCTGGTGGCTGGTCCCTTAGGGACCTTGCCTGCTGGTGTCAAACATTCCCTTTGTCCTGTCTATTTAGACTGCAAGCAATCTGGGGCAGGGTCTGTCTCTTCCTTTGTGTATGTCCAGAGCCTAGCACAAGGGGGCCTCTTGGTTGCACTGCAATATGTACAACGGCAGGTGAAGAGTATCTGCTGAGCTTCCATTCAAATACAATGGGAAAGCACAGCTCCCTGGATTGTGAAACGGACTTATTTTGATTGCCCCATTTTAACCAATATCTCATATTAGCCCTTTGGCCGCGATCTCTGTGAATGCTGCTTCTATCCCACCTCAGTGGGCATAAGAGAGAGAGACAGGCCCTGAGGGGAGAAGGAACTTCTGGCAATGCAATGGAATGAGGCATTGCACTCTAAACCGTCCGCTCTCACCTAAACATCGGTTTCCTGCCTCCCTTTCTCCAGCCTTACAGTCTGGTCCAGAAATGTATTCGGCGGCTATCATCGCTAATCCCCCTCCCCTCACCCAAAAAAGGGAAAACCTCTGAATGTTACATTCAATTCTTTCCTGTGGCAAACAGCTTAGATGGACAAACGGAACCCGTTACATGGGAGATGAATAAATTGCTCTGGTTAATTTAGTGCGGTTATATTCACATCTCTATATTCACAACACAGCAGGCTGCCGTCAGCACCACCCCCAATCTAATTTCTCAAAGACAAGAGAAAGCCAGCAGAAGTGAACGACACACATAACAATGATGCGTTGTGATCGCTGCGTAAGTGACTCAAGCAAGGTTGAGGACTCAGAGCCCCAGGGAACAATGACCCATATTTATCCTCTAGCCGGCACTAGGAGCGATGGGGCGTTTCGGCAACAAGAGGAAAGGTCTATCTAGCCCCACGGACATTGCATTCATTAGCAGTTCATTCTCATCCTTCTGCAGTGACAGCCACGCCCTGATGGTTTTGATTTTTTTAATATCAGCCCTTTTCTAACGGTGGAATATTGTTTTAAACACTGGATTTGGCAAAGATTGAAAAACTAAAGCAGCCTAAGGCTTTGTCAGCTCTGGATATTTACCCTGATGCCAGACATTCATGGCCAGCCATCCATGCAAGCCCTCAGTGTTGACTGGCAAAGCCACTATTAGTACTGGTGGAGCTAACCTGTGCTTGAAACCAGCATAAGCAGCACAAGTATAAACAGTGGTCTGTCCTGTGTACACTAGGGGTCACCCTGGGGCAGCTACACTAAGCCACCAATGGCTGGAGTCAGGGCAAACCTCCAGTGTGGACAGAGTACAAGGTAAAGCTAAATTACAGACAGCAACACATCTAAACCTTGTGCTATGGATTTCATTGAGGCATCTTACCATACACTCAAAGCCATTTTGTTCTACAGTAGCCCTAGTTACCCAGGGGTGCAACCCTCACTTGCTACGTCTAGGGTTTCTGACCTCCCTTCTCATGCTGAGTTAACCCAGCTGGTAACAATCAACCTACATTGCAGGCTTCATCTGAAATGGACATTCCTTTGGGGGACCACAACTCTGCCATAGATACGAGCTATTGGCTTCCATGGGGCTGGAGTGTTACTGATTCCTTCGCAGCACCCCAGGTCCTATTCCGCAGCAGCAGCACATGCCACAGGATGAATATTCTGATTTAGCCTAGCTACTTGTGCAGAGCATGATTAATGGCTGCAGCGCAACGAGCGGAGATACCCCTGGGATGGGTATCCTCACCAAAGGGACGTTGCATTGGAGAAAGGAATGAGTTCTACTGACTGTTTCTTCGTGTCAATTAATAAAACTGAAATGAATCTCCAAAAGATAAACCATTCATACACTATCTATTCCCTGCTCACATATTCCCTGACTAGGAATTACTAACCTCCCATGACATCCAAACCATTCTTTCAAGCTGGGGATTGCAAATCAAGGCAAAATTCACTTTCTAATGGTCCACTTATCTGGTCCTCTCTCACCCAGAATACGGTGACCTACTCATCTCCAGGGACCCCATTTCTGAATTCTTCCTCCTGCATCTCCAAGTGAGACCACAGTGCTGCTACATCTTCCTTTCCCTCTGCATAGATCACATCACCCCCTACACTCTTTGAATCCCTCACTGTGTCTTGCCTCTTAATGCCCTCACCTGTCTGATGTTGCAGTCTCTCCTAAACTTAGCTTCACGGCTTCTGACATGCTGCTCTCTGTGTGTGGTACAGTTTCTCTGTCCTCATCTGCCAACCTCCGGCTCTCAAATACCTCCCTAAAATCTACCTCTGCAACCAATTCCTCCTGCCTCTTTCTCCTTATCAATCCTTTCCATACACTCCCTATCCTGGATCTTTGTCCTACATCTCGTTTTTTCTGCCGTATTTGCATTGTGAGGCTCTTTGGGGCCGGGAAAGGGTTTTACCTGTTTGTAAAACACCATGTGGACTTATGATGCTCCATACATCCATATTAACACACAGCACCATAACATAATATTGCACAGTGATAGCATAGGGCAGTTCGCATCTGACCAACCAGTTCGCCCTCTCAGTGCACCTCCCATTCGAAACCTTACCGAGAAGTACTGTATAAAAACCTAAGATAGAGAGAGACACTGACTTCAGTGGGAGTCGCCTAAGTGGGGCTGAGGACAAAATTGGGCCCTTGGGAACAAATACTACCATTACTAACCCCTGTGCTGCCCCACTGATTTCCACAGGGAGGCACGTCAGAGCACAAAATCCTGAAGTTCTTATTCAGTGTTTGCTGAGGCAAAATTCCCAATTTCTTCAGTGGGATTTTTGCCAAGTAAGAACTTCTGAATTTGGGCCTACAGTAATACTCTTGAAAGTTGTAGTATTGGACCATTATTACCAACTATCGCTATGTATCTTTATTAGATTTTCTACAGGAATTCATTTGTGCATTTACGGTTAGCACGTCTATAGAAACGGCCCAACTGACTGATTTAGTTCTAAACAGAGGTGGCTCTGCATGTAGCTGGGGTTTATGGATCTGGGCCCGTCTCTAGTTCTAAACAGCCAAAGCTGCCACATGCAAAGTAACCTACAAACATAAAAGCCACCAGAACTTCTCTTGAACCACTGGCATCCGTAGCCTTAATCGGACCTAGCACAGTTCTAACATTGAACCTGCAACTTCAGATATCAAAGATACAGAACAAACTCTGCCTTCTCGCCTCTTTCCCTGTAATCAAAGTTTCATGAATGGTAGTGAGTGCATTGAAAAGACAACTTAAGGGTTAAGTTGCCCCATGATTCCCCACATTTGCCAGGTAAATCGGTGCAAGTGCTCCCGGTGAGGACGCGCACCTCCGACTCAAGGAGTGTAGTGTGGACGTATAAAACCGATTTAATTACTGCAGTGGCTGTATGGTGGCGTAACTTAGGTTGACTTAATTTTGTAGTGTAGATTGACTTGCCCTTAACATACAAAAGATATAGGGCTTGATTTCCCCTCACACTGGATTTCCCTCTGTGTAACTCCACTGACTACAATGAGGTTACTCTTAATTGACACTGGTGTGAACAAAAGAAGAATGACACCCAGATCAAAAAGCGCCTCAGTAAACTATTACTGTTATTTTTACATGCATCTTTGTGGAGCCTTATGAAAAGCAAAACAAGAACAGAAAGGCCCACTTTGTTGACCTCTAGGAAATGTGTCGTTTTAATTGTGTGTCATGGGGCCTGCTGGTAATCACACACTTACCTGACACAGAAGTACAAAACAACTGGTCCTGACTTTTTGGGGAAGTCGTGTTCTAGCACTCTACGGTCCAGCTGAAGCCAGTTTAAATGTCCCCTGACAAGAGACGAAAAAGAGGTACTTAGTTACATTAGCAACAAGAGACTGCTTGCTACTCATTGTAATGAGGGCTGAGGTGTTAAAACACAAACACACACACACACTGTAATGCATGCTATTTGCCTTAGGCTATATTGTACAATATTTGAGAAACCCACATGAAATGTTCAGAGAAAAGAGGTGATATCATCTTGGCAACATTTCAGTCTAAATATTTAACACATAAAGTTCAATCTGTCAGGGTGAAAGCTGGTAGCACGGAACAAGAGCACAAATGACCCAAAAGATAAGAACTTCACCTTTTATTACAGTGCCCCTGGTGTGGCGCCATAATTAAAAGTCTGTCAGGATTTCCATTAAAAATCCTTATTGCTAGGAGTTTGTACAATGCCAGTAATATTTCACTCACAGCTAAACCCAGCCGTACAAAGTCTCAGACATTTTATTTGTCACTCCGTTCGCTTGGAATAGCCTCTCAATAATGCCTGCCAAGCTCTTCTTTTTCCTCCTTCAAAGAGCTCCTGAAAAACACAGCTGTTCCATGGAGCATCCTAGCTCCAATTACCACATGCTGCTGGCTTTTGTCCGGATGGTACCTGCCTCTATTGTTTTCTCCTCTAATTTATCCATTTGTGCCTTTATGTAACGAGCTTTCCTGGGCTGGAGTACTGTTCTTTGTCACGTTCTACACATTGTGAAGTGCCGTGTACACGTATAGTGTTATAGAAAAATCATTATTTATATGACAGTGCCACCCAAATGAGAGCAAGGCCTCACCGAGTTAGACACTGCACAAACACATAAGATGAAATGCTGGCCCCAATGACGTCAATGAGCCCTGATTTCAACTGTAGGAATTTTGCTATTGATTTCAGTGGGGCTAGGATTTCACTTCTGGTGAGAAAGCGTCCCTGCCCTGAAGAATTTACAGACAAGAAGACAGAGAGATGCAGTGACTTGTCCAAGATCACACACCAAGTCATCAATAGAACTAGGAATAGAGCCCAGGTCTCCTGAATCCCAGGCCACTGCTCAGGCCACTGAACCACGGGGTCTCTCAGTACTATTTATTCTTCACAATACTAGTTGCATTTTACAGCTCGGAGCGGCAGACACAGAGGGCCAGATTTATAAAAGTATTTAGGCACCCAAAGTTACAGATCAGCACCCAGTTGGATTTACAAAGCACCTAAGGAGGTTAGGCACTTAACTCCTAGTGAAGTCCACTGCACTAACCTTCCTTGGTATGAAATATAGAAAATCACTGCTGTAGACTATAACAATGAAAGAGGAGCCATGGAGGTCATTTGGGTCAATGATTTCACCTCTTCAAAGTCCAGAAATGGGTAGTTACAATCCATGAGGAACTAAAGCAATTACAGTCTTTTTGTGCCAATTTCCCTAGACTTCTACCATTGCTCTCTCTGCCTGTCTCAACTAGGGACAGTCTCTGAATTCTGTGAGGTTCACTTTTCTGAACTTTCCCTCTCAAAATATTTTTGTTCCCAAAGCTTTCTCTGCCTGTGATTTCAGCCTGTGTGTTCTTTCAAAGTTTGTTCAATTTTTAAACAATGTTTTCCCCCCCAGCTAATGGAAGCTTGTGCGGGGTGTTAGGAATTGAAACACCTACCCAGCCCCCGACTAGCACAAGTGCCCTATATACAATGTAAACACTATGGCCAAGATTTTCAAAAGTGACTAGTAATTTTGTGTGCCCAGCTCAAGAACCCTTAAAACGGCCTGATTTTCAGAGGGTGGGAGTCAGCACCTTCTGAAAAATCAGGCCCCTTTAAGGTGTCTCATGTTAGGCACCCAAAGCCCAAGGTACCCAAAATCATGAGTCACTTCTGAACATCTTGGACTATATTTCTTTTTTTATGCATATTTTCCCCCCATTCTCTGTTCCTTTTATCTACAGTACCCCTTAAGTGGAACATGAACCCAGTGATGCTAAAACTTAGACTGGATTTTAGGTGCCACATTATATGAGGAGGTTGAAATTAGACAAGCGTATCTATTACTACTTAAACAACTATTAAAAAGCAAGCATTCAATAAACTACGGCCCATGTACAAAACACTGTCAAAAGCAAGGAAGAGCGACCCTAAGGCCACCATTCTGTCCGCAGCCTCTCCTGTTGCCTCTGTGTTACTAAGTTGGTCGTAGGGTTGGCATTACACACCAGGAGCCAATCTCCCACTGAAGTCAACGTGTTGATGAAGGACTTGCTGTGTAAGTCCTATGGGTTTATTCAAGGGGAAGATCCAAGTTTGTCTTACATGTGCAACGATCCCCAACCACAGTGGAAAATACTGAGGGCAGAGAACAGCCATTCACTTTAGGTGGTTGCTTCTTTTGGAAAGAATCATTCTATCTGCATTTTAGCTTAAGGAACTGGGTTAATCAGTGCAAAAGAATATATATATTTAATACTGCTGTGTATTGCTGCCGATATTGCATGAGTAGCAAAGAGGTGGCAAGAAGAAGAGGTAAAGTTCCCCCGAAGGCAGGAGAGCCAGCCACAAAGCTAGTGCATCGAGCAATTTTTAACATGCCCATCTCCATTGTACCTGAGTGCAAAGAAAACTTTGTTGCTCCTTTCACGGGGGAAATGATATCCACAGTTACCACTTAAAAAATGTTTAGCAAGGACTGCCTTATAGCAGCTGTCAGAATCTGCTACCTAGGGGCCAGATTCTGCTATTATGCCGTACAGCACTTTACTGCACAAGCCGTCTCATTGTCATACTCATGGAGAAAGATGCTATTTGACACAATTAAGGGCAGCAGAATTTGGCCTAGATATCTAGTAGTCTTGATGTTAGGTACCCACTAGGCAGCTTGCACAAAGAACCCCTTGATATGCTCCAGCATGGAGACACTTCTCCAATACAATTTAATAAGAGGCACGACAGTTTTTGTCTTTATTATCCGCATTGGTTTTTGCACTTCAGAATTTACATCAGTGGAATCACCAGTAATAGCCCTAACTGCACAGGCTCTCCCCTGCCACAGAGGGGCTTGTATATTATTACTTAGTTGGTCCTTTCAGTGAAACTTAGATCATTTTTTGTTGTTGTCTATGGAGGCACTGGAGTTAAATTGTTGATCCAACAACAAATAGAGGTGCAGTGCTGGAGTTAAATTGCTGGGTCAATAACAAATATGTAATTGCATTTAGCAAACAGAAACGGAGCACATTTATTTTATGGACTGAGTATAGATTTTGGCATGTGGGCTGGGCACTTGCAATTGCATGGAGTAGTTTCCATTTTCTCCCATCAGGGTTTTCCAGGGAAAGCAGCATGTCAATGAACACTTTGCCTCAAGGTGGATTCAGTTATAAAGAGGTACTGGCTACAGGCCAGTTTTATAGCAAGTGGATCTACATTTATTAGTGTGCATAAAGCACTTTGAGATCTGTGGATTAATAGCCTGACCTACCTCCCTTCCAAGTCAAACTTCCATTCATTCCAGCGGGGCAGGATTAAGTCCTGACTGCACTATAGAAACCCTACAGATTATTATTATTACAATTGCCATCAACTACTACAGCAGAACCCTATTAAAATTAAGCCCCCGATTTCCCAGAGTTAGGGCTATAGCCTTGTCTTTGATGGAAAACTCACGGGAGGGGAACGGGAGGGCGGGGGGTGTCCAGGAAACTGCTTGGGATTCATGGTGCAGATTCAGCACAACAGTAGAGTCCGTAACATAGAAACTTCCATCATGGCTCAGACTAGTAGCCCACGGTTCATTGGCTGGGCCACTGAACTAGGTATCAAGAGACCCAGGGCCTCTTCCAGGCTTGGCTGCTGATTCACTGTGTGACCTTCATCAAGTCACTTTATCTCTCTGTGCCTGTGTTTCCCCTCCCATCTTGGATCTGTCTTGGCTAATAAGACTTCAAGCTCCTTGAGGCAGGGACAGTTTGTACTATGTGTTTGTACAGTGCCTGGCACAGCCTCTAGCACTACTGAAATACAAATAATAATCCTAGCCCTGACAGTGGTCGATACCAGATACTTCAGAGGAAATTTCTTCTTCACCCAGGCCAGTTGTTCTCAACCTATTTAACATTGTGGGCCATATATGTAGCCCACAATGTGTTATGTGGGCTGCAGGTTGAGAACCACATTGCCTCCTGCTAACCCCCCCCACAAACCCCTTGCCCAGTGCCCCCCCCCCAACCTGTAGACCCCTCCACAGCGCGGGGCCAGGAAGCTGGGACCCAGATCCCGCCGAGCACGGGGCTGGGCAGCCGGGACCCCAGACCCTGCCAGACAGGACCTCAGATCCTGTCAAATGCGGGACTGGGCAGTTGGGATCCGACCCTGGACCTTGCTGTGCATGGGGTCGGGCAGCCACGACCCGATTTTTTTTAGCACACAGCTGGCCACAGGTTGAGAACCACGGATCCAGGCAACTAGTGGTTAATTTATGTCCTGATACTTGAGGGTTCCGTTACACATTTTTATCCTGTGTAATGTGTCTGAGGAGGCTCTCCTTGCTCAGCTGTACCCACTCTGGTAAGAGGTTAGGGGCCTGCTTCAAAACCCAATGACTTCAGTGGGCTTGGGATCAGGGCCTGCAATAGGAAATGGGGAACAGCATGTGGTGGGGAATAACCTGGGGTTTTGCAGGGGCTGAACAACCCCTGATGCTGCTGCGGAACAGGCACCTGCACCCAGCTCTAAAGCTCGAATGTTCCTTGAGAGAAGCTGAATTTTGGTCATTGCAAAGATGATTTTACTTTAATGAATTTTGGAAATGTTGATGTCAAAGGAAGGAGAGTTAGTGGAGAATCACAATCTCAAGAGTTAAAAAAAAAAAAAAGCCATTTCCTCCCACGTCCAGTGCCTTCAGCACAAGACCATCCTTCCTAGCCAATCAGTCAAATCTGTAACTCCACTGGCTTTATATCAGGGTTGGTTTTGGCCCCAGGTGTCTGACCTGCCATAAAGATGCCATCGTTTTGACCTTGCTGATCTTCGGTTAATGCTGTAAAGCATTTCTATGATCATTAAAATAAGAAGCGTATGTCTTTCCACCATAATAGTCTGGCAATCTAATTTCAGTCATGCTGAATGCGGTAATGACCCTATATTATCAGAAGAAACTATTAAGTCACCAACGCAAAGATTGTTCCTATTGATTTTCTTCTCAGGTTGTCATGATATTCCCAGGCCAAATCCTTTCTAAATAACTTACTCTCGTAGAGCTTTATACTCTTAAATTAAAGAATTGCTCTAATACTACATTGCTTTTTTCCTTTTCTAAAACTGCAGCTAAGCCAACCTCAGAGGATATTTATGAACCAGAACCTATTCTGCCTCAGCCAGCGTCAGCATAAACTCCATGCAAGGAAGTGAACTCCTGGAGTCAGAGAAATTATGTGTCAGGGAGGAAAACTACGGACAACCCCTGGAATCGGTGTCGCAGAAATGTTCAGAATTAAATGATTCCTGTTTGTATTACAGTAGCTGCCGAGGAGCCCCGACCAATACCAGCGCCCCACTGTGCTAGGTGTTGCACAAACGTGTAGTGAGAGACAATCTAAACAGACAGAGCGTGGGGGAAGGGAACTTAGAAAAATGATCCCCATTTTGCAGCTGGAGGAATTGAAGCACAGGGAGATTAAGTGATTTGCCCACAGTCACACACAGGAAGCCTGTGGCAGAGCAAGGAATGAAACCCAAATCTCCCAAGTCACAGCCCAGTGCCTTAATGACACAACTACCTTTTTGGGTGTGTTTGGCCAAAGAAAATCATGATTGTATTTCACTGGCTGTGTGACCGATCGGCAAAAGTCTGCTAATATTGAGGGGGAAAACAATGTATACACTAGTTAAAAAGAAAGTGCTTATTTCCCCAGCAGGCAAGAAGCCTTGTTGAAATGGTTAGCACTCACGGAGAGGCAGTGGCGGTCTACAGACCTGGCTTTGGCTAAGGTAGGATTTAAGGGTGTGTCACTAGATTGTGTTAGCTCGCTTGATCTCAGGTAGCCCGCAGGCCCTATCTCAGTCAGTGTAGCACCTGTTACAGTACATCTTGCTTTATCTCGGTCGTTCTCAAACTTCTGTACTGGTGACCCCTTTCACATAGCAAGCCTCTGAGTGCGACCCCCCCCCCTTATAAATTAAAAACACTTTTTAATATATTTAACACCATTATAAATGTTGGAGGCAAAGCGGGGTTTGGGGTGGAGGCTGACAGCATGCGACCCCCCCCATGTAATAACCTCGTGACCCCCTGAGGGGTCCCGACCCCCAGTTTGAGAACCTGACTTTATCCTGACTAGCTTTATAGAAGGTGTTAGTACCATCGAGCTAGCAACCAGGATCTAGCATCCCACCTTGAAAACCTAGTCTAGACAAAGCACATCAGTGATCATCCAGACAGCATTGTTTCCATCTCAGATGCTCCCCAAAACTCTGAGCACTTTGCTTGACAACCTTAGTCAGTCTCTTGCACTTTCCCCTTCTGTAACCTAGATCTTTGCTCCCACTGGACTTTTTTTAAACCTAGTTTTCCCAGGTGAGTCTGACATGTCTGCCTGTATATCTAGTTGATACACCACCTCCTCTTTAATATTTGCCCATGCTCCCAGGGAAATCCCACCCCCACCTCATAGTGGGTGTAGACAATGACCCCGCTTTCCCCAGTAGGTGCCTATGAGACTGGTTAAACATGATCAATCCTATCCGTCTTGCCGTGTGTTTTCCCTTTTTAAATAGTGCCACTACCTTTATCCTGAGAATACTGGCAGCAGCTGGTCCTCTCTGACTCTATTTCCCCCTGGGGCAATGCACACGGAATAGCTCACCAGCTCCGGTAAAGGGATTGAGTCCCCCTCAAAACAACACTGAGTGAATTAGTAAGGGAACACTGTCTCCTGCTTCTCTTCTTTTAAGCACAAACTCTGTCAACTTGCTGAAGCCTGAGAAGATCTCCACCAGCCGGGCAGGATTCTGGGCCCACAAACAGGTGATCCTTATTCAGGCGCCAGTCCAGCATGTGTATAACTTGGAGCATGATTATCCCATTGCTACTCACATGCTTGAAGTTACACATGTGAATTAGGGCGTTGCTGGATCACGGCTCCTTTGCAGACTACAGACCTGTACTCCACGGAGGCTCCATAAGCCACTTGGGCATGGGGACAGGACAACCCTGGTAGATCTATAGTGTACTATACAGCCCCTTAATATAGCCCCTTGCTGCATGTACATTATTATCCTTCCACAGGACCCCTACTTCATTTCATGCATCACCTATTCTGCTTGCCGTTCATCCAGGAAAGTTGCATTTACCAGTGATAGCCGCATCCCCAAGCCCAAATGTTCCAAAACCGTGAGACTGGCTTAAAAATCACGACATTTTAAAAATAATACACATGGGGGTCCTTTTTATTATTTATTATTTGTATGGTGGTAAAACTTAAGGGGCCCAATCATAGACCAGAGCCCCGCAGTGCTAGGTGCTGTGCAAACATAGAACAAAAAGATAGACCCTGCCCTGAGGGCCTTACAATCTAAGTATAAGACAAGAACCAACAGGTGGCTACCAAACAAATAGAGAGGGAGCACACTAAGGGTATGTCTACACTACCCGCCGGATTGGCGGGCAGCGATCGATCCAGTGGGGATCAATTTATCGCGCCTCGCCTAGACGCGATAAATCGACCCCCGAGCTCTCTCCGGTTGACTCCTGTACTCCAGTGCCGCGAGAGGCACAAGCAGAGTCGACGGGGGAGTGGCAGCAATCGACTCACCGCGGTGAAGACACCACGGTAAGTCGATCTAAGTACATCGACTTCAGCTACATTATTCACGTAGCTGAAGTTGCGTAACTTAGATTGATTCCCGCCCCTCCCCCCCCGCCAGTGTAGACCAAGGCTAAGACAGTACTAGTCAGCACGCTAAAGAGTGACCACAGCACACTAGCTGTCTACCCACTGTTGAATATTTATTTGCCTTCTTGCTTTTGAGCTGCTAGAGCTCATGTTTTCAAGCTTTTCTCTAAAACCGTAAGGGCCAGAAATGTCCTTTTTTAAAATGAAAGCTGAGATTCTGATATCATCACATTACTCCAGGAGCTTGGGCTTCACAAAAAGTACCAAGAGAGGACAACCCTGTGATCCTCAACTTTGTTTTCTGATTCTCTGGCACATTCACAAGGCTGTTGTATTTGGGTTTCATCATAGCTTGGGGAGTTCAAATCCCCAGAGACCTGTTTTCACTGTAATTCTTTATTTTAAACACTCATGAAAAAATCTCTATTTAACACTAAAGTTTGCAACCCCTTCATTTCCCCCTCCACCCACTCCCCTTTTCTTCTTTAAGAAACATTGATGTGGGCCCTAAAATGACTGGGACAGTGTGATTTCAAAGGATTTTTTCTCTGTCCCTCAAATCATTTATCATTACTGTTGAACCTGCCTGACTGCATAATCCTGTTAACGCGTTAATTATACAGGTCCGTTGTACTGATAACGATTGTGAAGAAGCAACTGGATTTTAAATCCAAGACTGCTTAAACTGACCTTTTGCCAATGCCGAATGACAAGAGCTCATTTAACATTTGACTAGGACGGGATCGTTAATGTCTCCATGAGTCACAGAGAATGATTGATTCACAATAAATGACATTCTCCCCCCTGCCCGGTGCAGTATGAGGCTTATGCACCTCTTAAGTCCCATGTAAGTCCCTAGCCCTATAGGCCTTGTGCTAAGGGCTTAAGTGGTAAATAGACCTTCGTGCTGCCCCTTGTGTATGGTGTGGGGAGACAACATTTAACTTTCTCATGATCTAAGAGTTGCTTCCCGGTATTTCCACCGTGGCACTTACGTTTCATCTGTGAAGGCAATTCCAAAGTATTCTTTCTCCTTCAGGTTGAAATGAGATGCCACCAGGTCGAGCAGCTCCTTGGCCAAAAGCTTTGGCTGGAAGGAAGGAAAGAAAGTGATCCGTGAGGTTCAGTTTAATATACTCCCTTGATGCTCCCTAGCACGAGCAGTGAAATCTCTTACGCCCTCACACAGTGACTCGCTAAGGGACAGTCCTGTCGAGGGGGGCTGGAATAGAATGCAAGTGTCACCCATTGGTGAGTGTGTGTCACAGGTCTCCCTGTGTGTCTGAATAGGAGTCTGTTCTAGGGATAGCTAGGGAGCACTGGCTCTTTAGCTGTAGCGGTTCATGCTTTTAGCTCTGGAAGCTCCAGTGTGTCAACCAAGGTGGCGGCCATGACACAAGAGCCTCATATCTGGAGCCAGTAATGAAAATCCTTCTTCAAAGGGCCTGGTTCTATGAGGTAATTCACCTCCCGAAAGATTCTGAGCACCCTCAACTTCTGCTGACCTCATGAAGTGACTGAGAGTCAGTGGGAGTTGAGTGTGGTCAGCACTCACCGGACCACACCTCTGTAGCACTGGAAGTCAAAATCAAGTAGTCATTTAAAGAAAAACAAATTAATTATTAGTTGTGTTGCAGTAGCGACTAGAGGCCCCAAGCAGGGATCAGAGCCCCATTGTACTAAGCAATGTACACACGCACAACAAAAAGATCTCCCAAAGAGATGACAAGTGAAGTCTATGAGAAGGGGACACAATGAACAAATGCAGTGCTGCAATGGCAGGCCTGAAAACTAACGTTCTCTGTTTACATAAAAGTGGGCCCCTTTTGCAAACCTTTGAGTGACTCTGGTTGAGTGTCAGTAGCAAAACCCGAAATCAGGTGACTCACGTCCAGTTTTCAGTGGGCACTGCTCTGCTACCAATCTCTGCTCATGATAGCTGGGGCTAGCAGAGCTTAGGAACTCTTAGTGGACATTTACAGAATCAGTAAGGGTGGATAGGATCTCTTGCTGGGGTCTCTGACTATATCCCGCTGCATTGTAGGGATGATGTATCTATCACTGCTGCCAAACTACCCTGTTCTATAGGTGTGAAGTCAAACCAGAAAATCAATTCCTATGGGATGGTTCCACCCCAGTATTCAAGCAAAGTCTTCTAATTGCAGCAGCTCTTTTACACAAGATTTTCTCCTTGTGGACTAATGAAAATAGTTGGTCCCTGTCCTCTTTACACCTTCCCTTCTTTTATTTGTAGACAGATAACATGTCTTCAATCGGTTGTCCTTACTTCAGACTCACCATGCCCAGCTTTCTTATCCTGCTCTGATAATCATAGTTTCCAGAGCTTTTTTATTGAGTAACCTTTAAAAGCACATTTCTGACACTATCACATTATCTAGGCTTATGACATTAATAAAAAAAATGTAGCATCAGGAGATCAGATGTGAGGGATCAAATAAGAAGTACATCAGCTGTGGGGACACAGTTGCCTGTTAGGTCCTCTCATCGTTTATGGGTGAGATTGTGTCATCGGGTTTAGGATCTGGGGAGAAAAGAGCGGAAACAAAGGCATGCTTGCAAACTATCCTTCCCAGGACCATCAAACCCAAATTTACCACTGAGGTTCACCACAGGAAATGTACATAGCATTCCCAAAGCAATGTGAGGAGACCCTTTTGCATTGTATGCCTTATTCGCCTTGACTATGTCTAACATTAGTCCTTTCCTCCTAAAATTTCCTACCAGTGGTGGCAGGAGCTCTAGTGTAGACAAGGCACTGGAAGCCACTAGTGTTTACCACCATGTCACTGTGGTCTTACCTAGACTAGAGCTCCTACTGTTGATAGCACTGGTGGAGCTATGCCAATGTTAGGAATGATGGGAAATTTGGGTGAAAAAGACTATGGTAGACAAGGCCTGTGGGACCAAAGTTGTGTTAGTGACAGCAGCATTAAAACATGGTTATGGTCAGTGGCTACTAGCAGTTTCCCTGACCACTGTTGATACGGATTGTGGCCCTGTCTACACTGCAAATCCTACTGTTTTAGAAGACCCAGTTACAGTACAGCAACTGGCAGGCTTGGTTAACACACTTCACGTCAGCTAAATGTTCGAGTCAACAGAGTTACACCAGGGATGAATCTAGCCTGGAGAGATGGAGTGATTTGATCATGGTTGTATAGGAAATATGTGGCAGAGCTGGGAGAACCTTGGTGTCCCAATGCCTAGCCCTATGCCTTACCCACAAGAACCTCTCCCATACCCTCCTGCAGCCCACACTAAACAGAGTCCAGTTATTGCTGCACTCATAGAGCCGTTATCTTATCCTCTGAAACACTTACCTCTGCCAAGAAGCCCATAGCTCACTGGCATTGGTGAGGCAAATGACAGTCTAAGACGTCTGCTGGTGTGTTTATTTAATTGTTACCTCATCCTACAACAGTTCATCTGTTTTGTCCACCCGTTACATCCTGGCACTTAGAGTAGGGATTACTGGTTTGTACAGTGACTAGCACAGTGGGGCCCTGGTCTTTGCCTGTGGTTTTAGGCCACACCACAACAGAAATAATGAAATAGCAACAGCCATGTTTAGACGCGGTTGTAGCTAAAACAGTTTGTTCCCTACATATGGACAGGGCCTGAGTTACCGGACAGGATGGATGGCCTAGTTGATAAGGAAGTGGAATGGGTCTCCAGGGACCTGACTTCGGTTCCTGACTCAGAACTTCTTATGCCTGATCTTGGCCAAGTCGCTTCATCTCTCTGCTCCCCCTCTGTAAAAGGTGAGTGACATTTTCCTACTTCAGAGGGGTGTTGTGAGGATAAAATCCATTAATTATTGTCTGATGCTCGGACACTATGGTACTGGGGGTTATACGAGCACCTAGATAGATACGCAGACAGACAGCTCCATACCTCATCACACCCACCTGAGATCAGGAAGATCAGAGGCAGGACAGAGTAGTAAAAGTGGTCATTTCATTTAAGTTTGAATGCTGACAGCCCCTCTCCCCATGCCTGCCTCAACTAAATGGAACCTCCCTTGGGTCCTTTTCCATCCCCCTCCCTGCACAGGGGCACACGCAGCAGTCCTCAGAGTCATATGCAGCCAGCCGGCGGCGGCGGAGGAGGAGAAAGACTTTTCTGTTTTCCTATGATTCAATGACGACTTGACAAAGCACGTGCGTGGTGACAGCACTGTCTGTGCAGCCACGGCCATTGATGGAGGCCAGGTGAAGCAGGCTCCCCACAATGGCATAGATTGCGGCCCTGAGCTCGGCCCCTGGCACTGCCTGGCAGTTGCCGCTCTGCTACCACGGAGATATTTGATAAAGGAACAATTATGCTGCTGAGCAGAGAAGCTATACGTCAGCCTCAGTGGCCATGCTACCTGCCAAGGTGGAAGCTAGCTTGAGATGTGGTGACATGACACCTCCCTACACCCTAAGGTGGGGAGCAGTGGAAGAGGTCAGCTTTGGTGTTTCACTGGGCAGAGAAAATAAAAGGAGTGCAAAATAAATGACCTAATATAGGCACACCTGGTCTTGATCCTGCGGGGCACCAAGCACCTCGTGTTTTGCGTGGCAGCAGGCCACAGTCGCTAGCGCGACTACCATTCACCCGTCATCCTCGGGGAGCTCCGCTAATCTGAGTAAATGCGAAGTGTTTGCTCATTATTTCCGCAGAGTGGAAGCATGATGTCGTCCAGTGAGGCGTGCCTCCCTCGCTTGCTCCCAGGTTGCACGCTCTGCATTCTTCTGACACAACACCCTTGACAAAACGAACAGATCTTCCTGGCCCCTTGCTGCAGTGGGGCAGGAGGGGCAAGGCAGGGAAGTAGAGGGGTGGAGAGAGGGAAGTAGAGGGGACACTCTGCTTCCAGCACTCCTGCTACTGGGTGGGCCTCTTTAAAAATCTGCTGTATCAGATAAGATGGGATAACCCTTGTCTTGGCAGATAAGGGAAAAGAACAATAGATGCAGAGATGGCCGTGGCTCCGAGCCAGGTTAGTTACTGGCTCAGCATCCCCGCAGAGGCTTAAGACTGAAGTTAAGCCCTGCTAGTCCTCTCCAAGATTACTTTCCTCAGTCATCCTAAGCCTTGGCACAGCTGCGCAAGGTTATTGGCCTTTTTAGTGCTATGGAATGAGCCCCTTCCTTCCCTGCACAGAGAGCCCTGGAAGGGATGAGTGTCAGTGACGCAGATTCTTGGTGGCGGGAACTCACTGATACTAAGGGGATGGCCCACCTGGCTGGGACCCAGGGCAGGAAAATTCTGGCAGAGACAAGTGACATCGCCGCCTGGATCCCCATCTCAAGACAAGACCTGAGCGCTGAAAGTTAACAGTTAAGCCGATTGCAGTTCAGGATGAGAACAGATGAGCCATGACCTCCTTTCGTGTGAGCTACATAGACAAAGAGCTCATTAGCCATGTCCGTGGCACATTTTAATTCATTATTAATTTCTGGACTTAACCTTCCAGAGCATGCTTGTTTTGCATTAATAAAACCTCTGCCGTAGACACACTGAAGAAAAGCAGGCTAGCCCAATGGAGCAGAGGGGTCTGCGGTGCGAGTGGGTATTATTGGGACATTAGGACTTCTCTGCATTAAAATATATCATCCAGACGAGGTCTGCAGGCTGGATCCTGATATCAGTCCCATACTGGAGTTATGGGAATACTGGAGTTACTCCTGATTTACAACCATGTAAACGTGATCAAAATGTGTCCTCAAGTCTGCAAAATTGCAGGGTCAGACCGAAGTGCATTAGTGCCCTACGAGGCCAGTATCTGGCACCCCTCTGCCTCAGCCGGTCTTTGTTTCCTTCCCATCCAGTCTACTCTGCAACCCACACTCTGCCCTGTCCTCAGTTGTCGCCATTTCTGTTCAGTTGATAGCAGCAGCTCCCAGAATCCTTTGTGCTGGCTGCAGCAACATTTCTAAGGGCAGGAAAGGATTATGGGAAATATCCAACACACAGCAGCAGCAGGCGGCTGGGCCAAAACTGGGACAGGGCAGGTGATCAGAAACTCAGCAGCTGGAGCAGCGAGGGCTGAAGGCCGGCGTGTTGGCGAGGGATGTGGTACCA